CCAGCAATACATTGTACACTGTATGTATAATGTATTGCTGGGATTTGTTGTACTCCTATATAGCTGGTGGTATTCTGCATTGCGCTGTATAGAGGACTACAAATCAAGGAATAATACATTATACAGCACAATGCGGAATACCACCAGCTATAGAGTACAAAAAATCCCAGCAATAGTACATTATACAGTGGTGCAATGCGGAATATCACTAGCTATAGAGGACTACAAAACCCAGCAATAGTACATTATACAGCGCAATGCAGAATACCGCCTATTATGTACTATTGCTGGGATTTGTTGTATTCCTATATAGCTGGTGGTATTCTGCATTGTGCTGTATAATGTACTATTGCTGGGTTTTGGAGTCCTCTTTAGCCGGTGCCATTCTGCATTCATTGCTGTATAATTTTTTTCACCTTTCCATTTCACTATATTGTTACCCACACTTTTTTTTTCTTTTTTACTTCCACCGCTCCAAGCTTGCTCCTGTGATGGACTGCAATCTCAACACAAACTAGAATTCCCATCACTGGAGCCATTTTTAAAAATGTATTTTATTTTTTATCCGATTAATCGAACTTAACAATCGGCTAACTAATCGATTTTGAAAATAATCGTTAGCTGCAGCTCTAGTAGTTAGAATAGTACTCTAGTCAGCAGTCATGAAAAGCACTGGCTATTAGGCTATGTTCACATCATATCCAGACCAGATCTGCAAATGCATTGCAGCGCGTTTTTGCTGTGTGCCGGTGCTGGGTATTTTTTTTAGCTTAAAATGGGCTTTCAGGTGCAGTCCAGTGCTTCTGCAAGCCTTTTTGATGTGTTTACTTGCGTTCCATACGAGAGCAAATGCGACGAGCAGTATTTTTTATTTTTTTTTCTGGACCTGAACGGACTTGCGCTGGTGTGAAGAGAGCACAGAAATGGCATAGGGATGCTTTTTTTGGTACACAAAAAAAACAAAACTGTTCTAGTCTGGATATGGTCCGGACCAGTGGCGTAACAATCGCCATAGCGACCCAGGCGGCCGCTATGGGGCACGGCCGCCTGGGTCGCTATGGTGTGGGGGGGTGCTGGCTGTCAATGTTGTAAACAGTGGTGTAACAATCGCCATAGCGACCCAGGCGGCCGATATGGGGCCCGGGCACAGGGGGGTTGCTATGGTGTGTGGGGGTGCTGGCTGTCACAGACACAGCTCAGCAGCGGCGCATTTCCCCTCAAAGCCGCTGCGGAGCTGTGTCAGTGACAGCCAGCTGCTGCGGCAGACGAGGGCGATGTTTGGAATGGAGGAGGCGGGGCCCGCCTCCTCTTACATCACTTGCCAGCGACCTAAGAGCAGGTGGGGCCAGTGATGTAAGAGAAGGTGGGGCCCGTCGATAGCAGAGGAGGCGGGGGAAGTGGACGGAACAGGAGTCGGGGCCCGGCGACCACAGAGGCGCTGACAGGTAAGAGATCTCAGACCCTGCAGAGCCCACTATAGAGAGCCTATGGTGGGCTCTGCAGGATCACACTCCGCTGGGGCTCTGCAAGTGGCATAACTAGCAATCACGGGGCCCCATACAAAATTTTGCTATGGGGTCCTGTGATTTCTAGTTACGCCCCTGGTCCGGACATGATGCGAAAAAGCCCTCAGGGGAAATTCTACAACACATACTAATTAACTTGTATAAATATTTATGGCAGGTCTTCACCTAAAAAGAAGAAAAAAAAAAAAAAAACCAACTCAAAACAAAAAAACTTCCTGCTACACCAAACCAGCTCACAACAACACAGCTTCCTGCTAAATCAGACCTGACACAATGTTCTCCTATGGAAATGAATAAGCCAAAGGTTTTTTGGAAACAGCGGGGAAGTGTTACAACATTTGTCAGTGCTGTGATCAGCAAATCCATTTGTGCAAGCCAAGGTTTGACATGAAAGTGGGGGGTCAGAAAACTCTAACGAGTGGGAAACAGCAGAGGTTACAGGCTAAGTAGATTTTTCTCAAGATTTACTCATCTAATGCTAGTGTACTGTATTCTCTATCTCTTGCACTCATGTTTACTAATTTTGCCCCTACTATAGAAATATAAAGCAAGAAATTATTGAAAAAATACAAGCTGTTGCTAGAACCATAAAATACCTGATTCAGTAGTTGTAGTACGTGGCACAAAACACTATCTTCAATTACTGAAAATAAAAAGTACTTCAAAACATACTGAAATGTTATACTTACTTCATAATATATTTGGCCCTATCAATGGTTTGTGCTTTAACTCTGACCAGTAATGGGTGACTGTTGTACGTTTCATTCTTCCATTGCCCATACAGACGATACCTTTAAATAAGGCAAAGACAATTACTAAAACATAAATCAGGTTTACATTTTGTGAAATTAAATACATATCATAGTTGGATTATAAGTTTAGGTTATAACACACTCTGGTTTCCAATTCATCTAGGAACCATAAAAGAAAGCAAATAAGCATTAACATTATGTTAAGCATGTTAACAAAAATAAATATAAAACCCTTTAACAGGGAAGCTACAAAAGTTGCCTGGAGAATTATATAATTTCTTTATAGTTATTTTAAGTCACTTCTAAATACAAACAAATATTCACCAGGGGGTCTATCCACGACACTGGCTTTATAGAGGGGGGTTCCTAATAAGGCAGTGCAACATTAGCTATCCCGTTGTGAGCACTTCCTCTCTCATAATGTTTGACTGCATGTACTTTGGCATCAGTTTTCAAATTAATTGCTGTCCACACAGGGAGCCCCTGGATCTTGGAAGCAAACTCTACAATGTCCAAGTTGGTGCTCTCTCCATTCTATAGTCTAATGGCACAGACCCTTCTGATCACTAAGGCACTAGCCTGTTGGATGGTGCTCAGCAATAACAGCCTCCATATTTTGTCTCAGTGTAGGTTTCTCTTACCAAAAGCTTTATGCCAATGTTGAATGCAAACAGATGTATTAATCTTTCATGTAAGTTTACCTGTATAGGTATGGAAAAGTTTTCATCATGCCCCAGAGTTCCTCAGACATGCATGCGTTGCCTTCCATTAATGACAAAGAAGGAAGTAACACCTGGTCTGTAATGCTTAGCAGGCAGCTGAATAAAATCTCCTGTGGGGAAAAAAAGAGGAGTCGATAGCAGTGGCATATTACATACAGTACACTTTAGATCATGGCACCAACATCACATTCAATGAAAATCACAGTACTCAAAGCACAAGTACTTTTGCAAGTGTAAACTACAGTCTAAAAGTAAATCACATTTGAACATCCTTTACAGTTCCTACCAGGTCTAATAACCTATTTTCAAGCTATCACTACACTTCCAAGCAGACTTTGTATCTAAAGGGCCACATAGAGGTCAAATCACAAGTGTATCAGATATGTTAACTATTATTATTTTAGCTCATAATTTCGCATTAAAATGTTCAATTTACATGCAAACATGACAGGATATGGATTATTACACTTTACATTGTAATTTAACGCATTTATTTCCATTAAATTGATATTTTTTTCTCATGGATAGATAATTTCCCATCTTACATGGCTCATTTTCATCTCTCCTCAATTGAAGACGGACGGAAAAAACTCACACTTCCCATCACCCAGAAGTTAGCAGTATTTTAGAAACTCTAGAACTCTAAACTTTAACTCTAGAAATACTCTTTTAAAAAAGTAACCTAAATATGTTTTCATATCTTCAATAACTAATCACCTACATAACTTGTGTTCAAATCCTATTGCGAAGGAATACAAGTTGCCGCAATTAAAAGGTTTCCAATGACCACGTTTTTCACCAGTGTCAAGTACTAAACTGTGCAGCAGAGGCCCTCTCGGAAAGAAGTAGATGAAGGCATCAATGGTTACAATTTGTGGCCTCAATAGCTCCTTATTTTAAACCATCATCCATTGTTTCAATTAGATTAGGGCTCTTCTTTTAACCAACTAATTATTCAGTAATTTTTAAAGCATGACTAGTAGCGAGTTAAATGCATTGTGTTTTTTTTGTAAAAGAATACACTTACCATTTTTTCTTTATCTTCTCCTCTGCCTGCATCAGATTGAAACTGAGAACAAAAGAGTCAAAGCGAACACATTACACGGTTTGCAGTTCCCCTCAACTAGGTGGGCTAAATGCATGATAAAATACTACAATAATAGAATTTTCAGCTAGGTAAACAAACACATAATTACCTATGCACTGAGAAATGGGCACAAGAATAGCTCACAGGAGGATATGAAAAGGGAGAGCTCATTATCATAACTACACTGGAGTGCCTGGAGTTTCCAAAGAAAGGGTCACAATGGTAAAAGTTTATTATATTTTAGGGATTTAGCTTCACAAATCTCCAAAAGTAAACACGTTTCCCCAAGAAGTTATTTTCAATAATTAAGATGACGGCATTGATTCAAAAAAAATAAGCACGATCTGCACAGAAAAAGCATTAAATACTCACCTGTCCCTTCAAACTTGACTGTCATGCATTCCCCAATACAGGACAAAACAGTGATGTAGAAGATGGGGGAAGAATCTTCAGCATCCAGCACACTTCCAGGTAGAATAGTGCCTGTCCCCTAGCTGCACTCGGGTTTCTTTTGCTGTCCCCTACAACATTACTGTGTCCCTGTGGTCAAGAATGGTCGATGGATGAAACAACAGACAGGGGACACAGACATGGAGTACTCCCAGTTGTGTCAGAATGCAGGATTTTTCAGCAATCTTCTCAGTGGGTTTTAGAAGTGGGAGAGGTGAATATTGAGGGGTCTATTCACGAAGCAGCCGAAGGATCTAGCCGTAGCTTCGACCAATCCTTCGGCTAGCTTCAGCCCCAGGACCCCTTCGGTCACAATAGCCTGTATAGCGCCCGAACTTAGCCGAGCGGCTGCAAATTGAAATAGCCAATAGGAATCTAGCAATGCATTCCTATGGGCAAAAAAATGTTTTTTGTTTTTTTCTATTCTGGCACGTCTCCGTGTCAGAATAAAGAAAAAAAAAAGACAAATCAGTGTTTGTCTCCTGGGCGGCCGGGAGCGGGAGACTACCGGAGCACCCGGGAGAGTTTTTTTCTCTCTTTTTTTTTTGACGGCAGCAGAACCGCCGGCCAATAGAAAACTATTCGGCAGAGCTAGCTGTCATTGCTAGCGCCGCACAATCGTTTTCTTTTTTCTTTCCTTTAACTATATTTCTGTTCTGCTCGGTCCCTCTGAGGGACCGAGCAGAACAGCCAAGCCGAATGCCGCTCAGCTGCATTCGGCTATTCACTCGCTGCTGTTCGGCATCTATAAGAATAGACCGAACAGCAGCTAGTAGCCTGCCGGAGGTTCGGCTTAGCCGATCCAGATGTTCGGCCGACCTGAAGTACGGCTGATTTCAGCCGATATACGGCTGAAATCAGCCGTACCAGCCTGGAGTGAATAGCCTAACAGCGTTCGGCTCACTTCACTTCAGGTCGGTCTTTCACTCGGCTGCCTACGGCAGCTTAGTGAATAGACCCTTAAGTTTTTTTTTTTAGCAGGCTGGGAATCTTTAGTTTTTTGTTTTTGTTAAAACACTCCGGCAGTCTAACAAACCGTGAATCATCATGTCTAATATAGTGTATTGTAAGGACGCTGAGGGACATTCCATTGAAGGAGTGGAAGGGCAAAGAGGCTACAGGGACCAGTCTTGCAGCCAGATGAGTCGGAGCACTTAACCCTTGAAGTGCAGGGGTAGCCCCAATACAAGTTCATCTGTCTGGAGTTATTCTTTAATAAGCAACAGAGTTGCTTTAAAAAGAAAAGAAAAATTCTAGTTTTCCAATTGTTACAACATAAAGTGTATTTCATAGCTCTGACCTAACATCCCAGTCATTGAATAATGCATGTCTTCAGCAACTTAGGAGATGGCATATTTGTTTTCTGTAATATTACACTTCACAGAGGTTACTTTAAGTTTATTTAAGTGGTAAGAAATGAGAGCACTGCATCACTTCTACAGAGCTGGGAAGCATGGACCCTAGAAGCAAGGAGCATAAAAAGGGACCTTTCAGTAACTAATATTCTACATAAATTCTGACCGTCACAATACTGTATACAGCAAAAGTATGATTTTTCAAGAAAAGTGAACCTTATATCATTAAGTGCTTGTTTCCACCAGCCCGTGCACTCATCGCACTGTCCTGTGCCCAGAACACAAAGGATCTCATACACAGTCTGCTTGCGTTCTGGGGTGGGAGGGGGCGTGGCAGTGCCATTCATATCAACGGCACTGCAGACAAGCCCCCTGCTCAGAGTGCGATCAGCCACACAGGACCGTGTGGTAAAACAATGCCCTGCGTTACAGTGCAGTACGATCGCAAAAAATCGTGCCAATAAGGCCCATTCATCGTAAAGTGCAATTCCACTTTTGCAGTTGAAGTGGGAAAACACCTACTTTATATTTCTAACATACAATAGAGAATATATTATATATAATCTCTATCACTGCAACCGCGATCAATGGATTGCAGATGCAATGCTTAAACTTCTGCAGAATCTTCCTGGCATTCCTACCTAGCCTCCAATCATTCTAACTGACCCTGTATGTACTGTGCTGGCAGATCTCATTATCAGTTGTAAACTTGATGTAAACATTGTATATGGAAGCATTGTATATTAATGAGACGAAGCTCAGTCTGATCCTCAGTTTGTCCCTATACTATCCGGAGAAACCCAGAATCTGAGCAACAGCTTTCAACAAAGATACCTGTAAATATTATCCCTAAATATTATTTTTAGCTATGCGGTGTTAATAGGAACACATTAATATGGACGTTTTCTTCAAATTTAACTGCTAAGGCAGAACCACACTCTACTGTCTTAATTTGCAAAACAACTAGCATACAATAAGGTATAAGTAAGCCATTTGTTTGGTTTGGTACCAACATTGTGTAAGCAAGAATACATTCTAACCTATAAGATCTTATTTTGAAGCAATACACAGGAGCACAAACTACCATGTTAAGATGCATGAAATAATTTAAATTATAGCACGATGCATATTATATAAAACACAAGAGAATCACTGTCATTCTCATCTGTAGGGCCTTAACCATTGGCCTTCTAATCTACCTCCATTTGGTAGCACAAGCTGTTCTATCGATCTATCTATCCATCTGCAAACATTTGTATTGTGAAAGTGATGAAGCAAAAAGGACTACATTTCTGATCCCTAGCTGTGTGGTTCTCAGAGCAGAAGCCTCTGAATGGTCTTCATAAAATGTCATGCTTAACGCAGCCTTGTAACTACCACACAAAACAATAAAAAAGAGCCAGCCTTCACCATCCAGTAAGGCGAGCAGGACTCTCGAGGTAAAAGTATAGTTCCACTTTTGCAGTCAAATTTGAGAAACGCCATCTATGTTTGCCATGTGCTCCTATTCACAGATAAATTGTTTCTTTGGAGCAGCATTTTACACAGCCTGAAAGCTATACTGAACAATTTCAAAGGACGTACTGAGGACAGAGGGAGTTACTCCCCCATTATTATACAATTTGGAGTACAAGCCTTGAGTGTTAACCATTTGTTAGGACAGTGTTGAAATCTAGCATACAATAGATAATGAGATCTGCCAGCACAATAAAGATGGGGTTAATTATGGTAAACATTAAAAAGGGTAAGTACACATTTGTATGTACTATGCAGTAATGGACCCCAGTATAAAAAAAAACAACAATTTAAAGCAGTCAAATAGAGCTTACTTTAGATGACACTCCTGTAGGCCAAGCATAGCACATTTACATACAAAGTTTAACTACACAGCATCCTCCTTAACATTAAAGGAGAACTATGGGGCAAGTGAATTACACTCACCCCCATAGTTAGAGCCGACCTGCGACATCAAAACTGTCACACCTCCCTGCAGAGAGTGATGACTGTCAGTTACCACTCCCCACAGGGATTCCCCCCTCCCTGATTCTCCAGCGCTGACTAGAGGGACAGACTGGGGAGGGGGCAGGCAGAGCGCCGCTGTCAATCAGCCAGCCGGGTGAATCTTGACAGTATTGTCAGGATCCGTCCCGGCTGTGGTGCTCCCAGCATAAAGCAGGCAATAGCTCGCTATATACGGAGTTTTGGGTCACAGGAAGATGTTAGTATATGTCCATCCATGAACCTAAAGGGAACTCTGAGATAAAAAGGTTACCCCATAGTTTTCTTAAATTTGGGCAAGCTAGGAAGGATTATTAACCACTTGAAATCCGTGGTGTTAATCCAGGCCATTTTTCAGTATTCAGCGCTGCGGTACTTTGACTGACATTTATTCTGTCATGCAACGCTGTACTGAAATACATTTTATACCATTTTTTGGGGACAAATAGAGCTTTCTTTTGGTGGTATTTAATCACCACAGCGGTTTTTATTTTTTACTATACAGATGTTCCTCGCTTACCGACTAACCTGTTTTGCGACCACCCGCACTTACGACAGACCGCCGATCGACCTCGCGCATCAGCGCGCCGTGTCGCCAGCGGAAGTGGTGTCCTCCGATCTTCACTGCGGGTCACGGTAAGTATTTTCATTGCCCGATGTACAGTACACTGTTTTAGAGCTGCAGCTAACGATTATTTTCAAAATCGATTAGTTAGCCGATTATTAAGTTCGATTAATCGGTTAATCGGATAAACAATAAAATACATTTTAAAAAATGGCTCCAGTAATGGACTACTAGTTTGTATTGAGATTGCAGTCCATCACAGGAGCAAGCTTTGGAGCGGTGGAAGTAAAAAAAAAAGTGTGGTGTGCAATATAGTGAAATGGAAAGTTTATAATTATACAGCAATCAATGCAGAATGGCACCGGCTATAGAGGACTACAAATCCCAGCAATAGTACATTTTACAGCGCAATGCAGAATATCACCAGCTATAGAGGAGCACAACAAATGACAGCAATAGTACATTATAGCTGGCGGTATTCTGCATTGCGCTGTATAATGTACTGTTGCTGGGTTTTGTAGTCCTCTATAGCTATGTATAGAGTTCCTCACTTACCGACCAATCTGTTTAACGACCTGGTCGTAGGAACGGAACTCGGTCGTTAAGTGAGGAATACCTGTATTAAGGAAAAATTACCGAAATCAAAAAAACAAACAGTTTCCCCTATATTAAATGATAAAACATTACCAAATTTTTTGGTAAAATATAAAAGACGGGGTCACGTCGGGTAAAAAGACACCAAACATGCCAAGCCTTTAAATTGCGTGCGCGTGTGAAACCTCAAAAAAACTATTATATCCAAAATTGGCCATAGGCGACGCTTTAAAAGCTTTTACCGCTCATCAGTTTAATGTTATCAGTGATTGATAGCCCTAAAATGATTGCTGTTACTTTGACGTTCGCGGCGATATGTAACGTGTGTAACGCAATTGTCGTTTTCGCGCGCTGGTGCACCGGATGCATATTTACGTTTATATGTGTGTAAACGTGGGGGTGGGGGACTTAAACATTTTTTTATATGTGACTTATTGCACTTATTGTTATTACATAGGGGGATAACAATCCCCCTATATAATAGCACAGGTACACTGACAGGTCCTCTTTATTGAGACATTAGGGGTCTCTAGGACCCCTGTCGTTGGGGACCCATATATAGCAGCCACATGACTGACAGGTGAATGCGGAAGTGATGTTATACACATCACTTCTGCATTCGCAGCCCGGAGCTGATCTCCCT